AATGAATTCTCGGATGCAGATTATGACCTATCGGAAGCTGAATGTGGCAATCAAGTCAGTCTAGAGCTTAATCCTTCTACGAACCTATTACATCCACAAGCAAGTCAATCAGCATTAACCGATAAAATGACTGATTCTAATACAGAAATCACAACTTTTTAATCGTTTTACATGTCCGTGTGCGTATTTGTATAATAAATCGAATCGTTTCGTTAAAAACTACCGACTCGCTTTCTCGCATGAACTATTAGTGACATCTATACGAAGTTTCGAACTGAAGAAGAATCTCGAGTTTTATATTAAAAATCCGGATGTGTAAATACTGAACACGAATAATATATATTGATTTCGAATAGAGTAGACTAGACGGTGATAATGTTCGTTACTAAGCAATAGAGCATTGCAATGGTTCGAACGTTTTTGTCATATTTGGCAAACATTCTCTGTTTCTTACCATTAACTACTTATCGAGCCACCTGAATCACAATAATGTATGGATCAACTGATGTTTTATTTATTTTTAATACTGAACTCGCTAATTTTTTTTCATAGACACCATGAGCAACGAATACGAACGTCGTGGAAGTAGCCGAAGCAGTAGTCAAGGTTCGCCATATATATCTCCTTATGAATACACAAAAACAGGTCTTTGCGGTGACCAACGAGATACTATGCTTCAAAGTGAACTTCAATATTTAGTGAGTTGATTCGATTCAAATTTCGATCAACTATGCGATTTTTTTCTGTAGCCGGAATTAGCGAAATGTCGTCGCCGTGGTCATAAGTTACCACCACGGACTTTTACCTATGGTATCACAAATCCACGACGCGACGGCGGAGTGCCGGAAGGTAATTGACATCCGAACAAACGAAGATCTACTTGAAAACTATTTAGCCATGTGTCATGGGCCCGAAAAAGAACGCTCTTCGAATCCTGATTTTGAGTTTGTACGTGACTATTCTGCATTAAATAAAGCAGCACTTGAAGCAGGTATGGTAAATGCTAAAGATCAGTCCCGTTTTCGGTACGTAGTTGAACTAATGTCTCATTGCCCTTTATACGTTCTATCATCCATTTATAGAACAGTACAAGACATAAAGAAGAAAGTTTTCGTACGCGACGTTTCGCATTCGAAGAAAACACGTAAGTTTGACGACGATATGATATTTGGTAATGCTAACAGGTAAAAATCTCATTGAACCCGTTTGCGATTGTGTTTGTGAGAATAGACCGTCGACACCCATCGCCGAAGTTTTACAAAACCGTTTTCTGAACAACTGGCTGGATACGATGCAGAATAAACAAGCCGCCTTGGAAAAAGAACGTGCCGACGCAGCGGTAAACATTTGCTACAATCGAATATTTATTTGATCGAAGGAGATTCTCTTTAGAATGCCTTCAAAGGAAGTTATCATACAAAATCGTCACTTCTTCGTCAAGCAAAAATACCTGTTGAACCAAAACCTTTATGGAAAATGTCGAAATTTGCTAATGTAAGGCAAAACTCCGTCTGTTTGTTTTTGTTGATTCAAACGGTTCTCTCTTTACACAGGGTGAAAATCAAGTCGATTCATTTCGTACCGAAACTGAACGTCGTCGAGCGTTCAGCGCAAATTCTTATGATTCAATACCTCGTCAAGGTGTTTATCATACTGGAATCTATAACGTTCCACGTACCACGGTCAAAACATAATTACTCTGCTTCGTTTTTGTGCATCATAGATTCTTTTTTTTTTATTTAACAACAACAAAGAACAAGAAAGAGAGAGAGAGCTTTCTGAATGATGAAAACATGGAATGGTTGTCATTTGTTTCACTTGACTAAAAGATATCGATATAGAATATTCAACACACATAGAAACATAGTGAAGGTAACGACTAAAGAAATATTAGTTGGAAAGAAATGAAAAAGATTTCAGGAGAAAATTCGATGAAGACTATTTTGTTTTTCTACATATGCATTGTGTAGTCCAGTCAAGAATTCTTCGTCATTCTAAATCAACAACAGAATAGAATGAAATAAGGGAGCAATACAAGTGATGTTTACTTGAAGCATATCGACTAGTAGTTTTCGAAGTGCATCTTTTGAAAAACGATCTGTTGATGAATTCGATGAATGTTGACAATGACAATAAGATGGTGGACTGATTGCGATTTGACTAGGAGCAATGAGAACTAAAGAAAACCAACGGATAGAGATGTGAATTGTGGTGAAAATCATCGTACCTGGTGATTGAATCGGGTGAATAGTTTGAAATTCTGATGGTGTCATCAGACGACCATGAGTATTGGAATGAGCATCGAACTAACGATTATATTTAATGAAGAATTTTATTTTTGATTTGGATTACTTACTCCGTTGTTGAGCTTTTGAGTTGAGAGTGTCCAATCAGTCGTGGTCGGTGATATCCGATGAGGTTGGACTGGGACGGCGGCCTGAAAAAAGACAGATTGATAGTAGATTCAGTCATTTTTTCTTGATTACTTTATTTAGAATTGGTACAGGTTTGACAATATTATCCGGAGAATGGGTATTTACTATTGATTTCGTTGTTTCTATGGTTGATGAAGGCGGATGAAACAGCTTCTTTTCCAGTTCGGTTACACTCAATGCTGGCTTTCCTACAATTCCCAACGTTTTCTTCAGCTCTTGTTCGCGTTCGTCATTATTCGTTCCCGATGCTGGTGCATCCTGTGTAGAAAATAGACGTAATAGTGCGGCTGGCATCGATGTTGCTGGATCGATAACTACTGAATCTTGTTTACGTTTCTACGAATAAACAAAGAGGTGTTGAACAGATCGAATGAGTAAGGATAACTAAACTGACTGTTTCTTGGAATTTCTCTTTGGCATTGTTTAGAAGAGAAAATATATCTGATGAGCCGGAACTGATCGAGAAAGATGAATTATCATTAGGTTGTTCCACTTCTTTGGCTTTGATTGTCAACCGTTTCAAACATTCAGTCACCCGCGGACAATCGGTTTTCGAAATAAACCAAATGCCATAGATATCTAATCGAGAACACACTCATCAGAGTTCATCGAAACAAATCCAAGTACCTCCAACATCAACTTTATACTGAAGAAATGCTTCGTAGTTAGGCGAATGTTTGAATTCCATTGATGCTTTGATCACTTGTACAAACGTTTCTCGTGATACAGTACTTAATATAACAAAGCCATGGTAGGGTTCACAAGTCCTATATGAAGAAAAAAAATCGAACGCACGATGTTTTATTTTCAAGATTTTACCTTTCGTAGACAAATAATGTGCCTTCGAGATCTTTTCGTTCCTAAAAGTACACGTCGTGGAAAGGTAACGACATGTTTTTCACATATATTTACCCATTCGCGTTTATCAGCAAGAAATTTATAAACACAGACGCGCTGAGCTTGATCGATGATCTTTGTAATGTACGGATCACGATTTTGTAATGCTTGAAGATTAATTCGATTTAATTGATCTTCTTCATCGGCATTGTCATTCGCGATAATTGTTAAGCGATTGGAAATTGTCGATGATGATGATGAAAGTATCGTTGACATGATCGTGAGAAAGAAAACGACTAAACGAATATGACGATAACTGGTTATCCACATAAGAAGGAAAAGAGATAATCCAGGAGGTAAACTATGGACGAATATCGTTTATTTGTGATTGATAGAGAAACGATTCCATGGATTTTATTCGCATAGATCTCGAGGTCTGAGAAGACCTTGGTGACTAATTAAGATATTCTTCAGTCAAATTTCAAGCACGTCGTATTGATCTTCGAGAAACAATCGAAAGATCAACGAATTGTTACACAAGAGCAAGTAATTCTATCCACAACCTCGACAATGTTAGGAAAACAACATAATTATTAGTTTTTCTCTTCTCATTACACATAAACAAACATCTTACCGAATTGCGTCCGACAACAAGTGTCGCCGAATTTTTGTTCGTTTCTCATCATGTCCGCAGTACGACCAAGTAAGCCAACTGTAATACGACGTCCATCCCAAACGAAAAGTCAGCAACCTCGAGTTCGCAAAGTTTCGCGAACAACATTAGATCTTCCCTCATCATTGTCATCCGATATTGGTCGTATTTTTCAACATGTCACCTTATCCTTTTGTCGGCGGATCATATTCGCTCCACCAACATTGAAAATATTTGTTTATTTTTTTCTGATTCTTGTCGGGCCCTTTCTAAAAGATTTTCACGTTGTATCAAATGCATCTCTATCCTTCAAAACCAACATTTTCAATCAACACATTTCGAGAATCGGTTGGATATGGTCAATCATGTTATTAGTTCCATTCGTTTACTTAACGAGTTTAATCTATACGCGTGGTCATTACGGTTTAATCAGTCGTCATTTACTCCGCTTATTCATTGCGACGACGATTTGGTACATCATCACGTCATTATTCATTCATATCGAAGCTCTAACGGGTATGTGTAAGCCAATCAATACTCGTGGCATTACGAGTCATTTTTGTCGTACAAGTCGTTATCAATGGCAAGATGGACGTACATACTTTCTTCTCTATGCACTTCTTGTCATTAATGAAGAAGTGAAATTATACAATGAGAATTGGAAAAAAATCGAAGACGCTAATAAAAATATGAATAGTAATCCGATTAATCAGAGTCGCATTCGATTATTTTCAATCCCGATTACTATTCTCTATTTGCTATTAGCTATTTTAACTATTCTCTGGGAATTCATGCTTTTATCTACTGTTTTCTACTTATACAATATTTTACATAAGTTAATAGCTGCTTGTTTTGCTGTATTCTTCTGGTTTATCACCTATCGTGTGTGGTATCAGCAGAACAGCGGATCGAAATTTTCTCCGTGTGCTCCAGGTGATGGTCTAATTATTGTGTAGAAAGACGTTTGAAATGCATGTAATTACATATGTGTTTCATTTTCTTTTTTGTATTTTTTGAAAATTTTCTCCAGACCTAGGAATATAGCAAAAACAAAAAAACGTCCATATGAGACTGAATTAAAGACGGCGAAGACGATACAGCGCAGGTCGAACATTCAGACGGGATTCCGGTTCGTGTTTCCAACAATCTTCGATCAGAGTCAATACTTGAGATATTTTCTAAAAAGGAATAAAGTTACCGGTCGGTGATAAGACATACATTACACAACATACCGAATTTACGTTAGATGTATAGTGGATGACTGGTCGTTTCTTTTCGCTGACAACCACTCGATGCAGTATTTCGATGATTCTGTTTTGATTTGTTTCATTTAAGCTAAGATATTCCGAATAGGGAAGTTGATAGTCGACACTTGACGAATAGTCTTCACATTGAGTAACAATTTCCCAAAGCACGAGTGCCAGTGCATACATATCCACTTTGCACAGAGCATCGCTGGTATGTGTGATGGCAAGTTCCAGTAATTCTGGTGCCATGTATCGATACGTACCAATTTGAATGAAATCTCTTGTCGTCAGAATAGGTGGAAGCATTTTAGCGAAACCAAAATCGATTAAACATAAACTCAGCTCTGGTTTGCACTTAACTACAATATTTGAACTTTTGATATCACGATGGACAATAACTGGCTTGCGAATGCGATTTGCTGGTAGATAAATATTCGGCGAAAGGTCTTCATAATGAAGATAATCAATTGCATCAACAAGGGAGACAAGAAATGAATAACATGTTGACCAGGGTAGCTTATGCGAGCGAAGATAATTCTCAAGTGAACCCATTTCGTGATACTCAAGGAGAATATATGGAGATAAATCATGCCAGCCATGACTGATGAAACTAATAGAAAAAGAAATAGTAAGACAAGAGTGTATATGTATACATACTTCACAATCGTTGAGTGGCGAATCATTCTTAAGATTTGTACTTCATTTTCGAACATATGTCTATAGTTCTGACCGTGATAGACTTTGACAGCAACTGGTTTTTTCTCGTATTGGAAACTGTCTTTGTCTGTTGTCCAGGCACGATATATAATACTGGTTTTTCCATGGCTGATAATCGATTGATATGTTGGATTCGATGAGAGAAATTCATCAATTTCGGCATGTGAGATATCTGTTGAAGCTGTCGAAAGATTTGCCGAGAAAGATTGATTATCTTTCTCATTAGATTTATGAAATCCATGGTATTTCATCAGTACAATAATACTAATCACGATGATAACTAAGACAATGACTATCAATGGAAGAAACCAATTGTTATCTTCGTCGTGTTTGAACACATTTTCATGGTAGGACATTCTTGTATACAAATTCTCGGCTCTTCTCCACTTCAAAGTACAGTTATCAGAATTGCATTGACAGAACAGGTTGTTACCAGTCCTGTCAAGATTAAGAATACAGTCGGTTGTATTCGAATACTTTGCTTCGAAATCATCAATCGTCGCTAACTGACGAATACGTATTCGCTGATCTTGGGCTTGAAAGTTTCTATCAAAATTATAGATACCCAAGCAGCGACGTGCGGTTGATTGTGTTGTAAGGTATGTACACGAGGAAAGATTTGTATCACAGGAAATAAGTGCACTAGTTTCATTGTTGAAAACATTATAAACTGGACAGATAAGTGAACTCGTCGAGGAAATGAGAAGAAAAGCGGAGAGATTTATAAGGTAGATCATATTGACCACTGGTCAAGTGATGATGGAAGGAATTCTTCTCGGAAATGAATTGGCTTTGTTTCGGAAACGAACGAATAGACAACTCATTGATATCGACACTGCTGTCATCTACCGAAGATATGTCTGAACGGTTTGCTACTCTAAGAAAAATTCGAGTTTATTGAACATTGCTTTAAATCAATAATGATGATCTCTGTATGACTCGGTGACGAAAATGATAGCAAAGTATGTAGATACAAAATATAGTTAACAGTATGAGAATAATCGTAGTAAAAATAAAAACATATTTGAGAAGATGAGTTGCTCTCCAGATGGCGATTAAGATTTTCTGATAATGTTCATCGAATAATAGTTGATACTCCGACAGTGCAGTGGTTGTTTCAATTGGCTTCTCTTGATCAATCGATAGTACAACATGAAAATCAGGAATTTCCGTCGTATTATCGTTGCTCGTAGTAGATACTAATCTAAAATGCAATCAATCGTTTCCGTTTGTTGAACAATCGAAAGAGAAACGACGAACTTTGGAAAGAAATTGCATTGGCCCGATTGAGCTAGAAGACTCCTGGTTTCAAATGAGTTGCAATTGCTTTGCAGTACATCATTCCATGTGAAGTTATCGCGAATGAAAAACTGGCATTGGTTAATTTCAATGAAAACTTCTACTGATCGATCCAGAAGTTTATTCAATGATTCGAATGGAATATAAAATGCGTTGATTAAAACAAATCGATTATCGTACTGATTGATTTCGCTCTTATAGTCTTTTATTCGAAATTCGTGATTGATGACGAGAGAAATATTCACTTGGTTGGAATTAATCGACATTGGCCAAGTTTGATATTGATATAAATCGATGATAATCCAGATGAGACGTGATTGCGAACGACAAAGAAACGTTAAATCGAGCTCAATCGGCAGAATTTCGATAGCTAAAGATGATACTGGACATGTGTATGGTACAAGGATTTGATTATTCAATGGCGGTTGAACAATTTGAGTATAATTGTTTTCACAATGAATGTGCCATTGTGTTTGATGGTTGATAATACCAACAGGATAAAGTGCATTGGAAATAGGGATTAAGAGAAAGAGGATAGAAGATAAAACAGTCATTCGATGCGATGGCCAGATTGGAAGAAGTTTTTGAACTAAAGCAAAAGAAATCGAGTTCGTATTAAGCTCAGTGATGAAAAGAGTCAGTTGATTTGTCTAGTCATGGATGATATCTGATCTATATCGAACGATTAACTCTGATTGTCAATGATCACGTCACACGTCGTTTCTTTTCTTTGATACGACACTTCACTTAATATAAGTGTCGATAATACACATATATATCTTTTTCTCTTTTCAAGTATGTACGAACGGATTTGATACAATTAGTTCAATTGATTCAATGACTGAATAAAGATCGATATCTCGGGTAAATCAAAGACAACTTACACGTCGTTTATGATCAGAATTACTTCTGTAATCTATCAATGCGATTGAGTTAGCAAGACTAATAGTAATTTCGACTATTTGTTTCAGATTACGTACACACGGATAATTCAATCTGACCTCTTTTGCTCTAGAAAATCTTTAGAAGTGTCCGATTAGTCATTTTTTTACCTTTCATCGACGAGATAGATAGTCAAGAGTTAGTTAAACAAAACAGATCTTTCAAGTTTTTTATTCTGTCACCATGTCTTGACAAGCAATGAATCAACATCATATTATTCTGAAGACCGCAAGTGACATGGTTGAGTTATTGAGAACGAGAGAGAACGACTTACTTCGACTAGTCTCATGTTGTTTTCATTCGCTGCGACTCGATCAAAGATGTTTTGAGTTAAGTGAGCAAGTACGATTCATTGTGTTTACATTAAGATATTGCTTCTCGTGTTAGTTTGATTACTTCAGAAGAAATTGTTTTCTTTTCTTTGTTGTATAATCATGTTAAATGTAGAAAGAAAGCCGAATGGCAAATTAGCACCGTTAGTGTCAAGTGTGAATCTTCCGACTAGATGTTTAGCAACTATTGAGGATAAAAAATATGGAGTACATGTTTTCATCAGCAGAATCTCTTTTCCAGGTTGCGATAAATCAGAAAGTCATTGCAAATACGGATGTTTTGGTCTATTTTGTTAGACATATCTGTCATGTTGATTGGTAAAACGTACGCTTTGGTAAAGTAATCAACTGTCTATGAAGGTACATATTTAGTATGTGACTATCTGATTACTGCATAAAAATTGCATTTAATCCATACAAATATTTGCAAATATTCAGTCGAATAAACTTGAGTAAATATATGAATTGTACGAATAGCGATGCAATCATCATTGTAATATATCACATATTCGATCGTTCTCTCTTCTTTGTACCAAAATCGAAGAAGAAGGCGCAACGATGTAAATTGAGTACCGATACGTTTCTTATCAGTAAGGTAGAAAAACCCCTCGATTTTTGTTAATTTGCGGTTGTCGGCGGTGGTTTCGTTATCGAGAATGAGTGGTGCGGTTTTGCTCCTTCTAGTGCCGACCTCGTTTATCCTTGGCACATTGATAGTTCATCAATCATTCCAATCTTCACCAAATTTTCTTCCCGATAGATGGAAATACAACGCTATACCTGTTCGAGTAACCAATCCAGTCAATGTCGAATTCTTCGTTATGTCAAAGTGTCCTGATGCCAAGAAATGCGAAACATTATTTTCTCCAAGTCTATTGAAACTTTCATCGATTGTCAATTTCACTCTCTCATTTATTGCTTATGAATCGCCGTGGAATCAAATTCAATGCATGCATGGTCTAGATGAATGCACGGGTAATAGGCAACAATTATGCGTACAAGATATGTATTCCCAAGCAGTATTTATTCGATATCTTCAATGTCAAACGAGAGAATTTTATGCGATACCACGCAACGGTGCACAATGCGCGAATGAATCGTCGAGAAATGTTATCAATTGGAGAGATGTTGAATCGTGTGTGACATCGGAAAAGTCGAATGAACTATTTCATCGATCGCTTGAACGAACACGCTTAGCATCAGCAAGAAAATCATGTACGATTCATTTGAATGGTATGTTTTGGTGTATGCACGATGGTTACTGGGTCAATTGCAACGAAGGCACTGATGAAGAAAGCTTTACAAAAGCCATCTGTTCAAGATACACAGGAATAGATAAACCAATCGAATGTCAAAAATTCGTTTAGCATTTTTTCGTTTAGTTTACTTGATGATAGTGTTAGAAAATAAATGCTTTATTTCATACTATCCAATGCGCCAGTTTTGATCAGTTAAAAGTACTTACTAATTGCATTATGATGTTAGTCATGAGGATACTGGGAGTGCGTTCGCTTGATTGCTTCAGGCGAGAAAGACGTGTTTAACTTCGATTGGTTAAAACAGGTGTATCAGTCATCTGTGAAGGTATATGCTGAGTTGGAGATGAGTAATCCAACTGGAATGGTAGGAAAATAATTTGAATTACTCATCGAGTTCATAAAAAAACAGGTGTGGTATGATGGCTATTTGCTGGACCAATCGAATTTCATATAATTTTATTTCCTCTGGGTTTTTCTGCTGTATATAACAAGCGAGGTGAGCAAGCCGGTAATCTATTAGCATATGTGTTCACACAAGTGTTTACGCAAATATTGATAGTAAGTATTTGTTCACAGATTAACTTGATTGTGTTATTCCTGCGCAGACGGCAAAAATATCTTATTGATACGGTCATCTAAAAGTCGGAGACGATATTTCATACCGGATTATCTCAAAAATATTCAACTAAAAAAAGTGCAAAAGAACGGCTATGGTCTAGAAGTTGTTGATAGGCCGCAACGCAGCAAAACAGTTCTGTATTACAATCAACCACTTTCAGGTCGGCCTTTTTCCCAAACTTTGGAAAAAATGACGGCTTACAGAAATACAGAAAGATACGATCGTATTTTTTTGACGGGACATCGTGCTACATTAGCATTTGGTGCTCTTACATCACCAATCCAATTTCAGTGTGCTGAGAGCAAGTTCTACCATGAAATGAATCAGCACTCAACATGGCATGTGCGCTTCGCGACAAAGAACTCATTTATTGCTATTAATATGGGTTACACAGAGTTTCAATTGAAACGTGAGCATATTGATACACATCGCGGAGTCGTTTATGATGTAAAATCAAGATCTGATGTTACCATTCATATTTTCTTAAAAAACAATCTTGAAGAATACATACAACAACAGCCACGTATGCCATTAACAACTCGAGGTACGAGTTAAAGTTTTCTTTTTTTCTCTCATAAAAACGTGTCACGTGCGCTTTTGTTTTCATCTATCCAAAGATTGAGTCACTGAAATTCTTTTTTCTGTTCGACAGGTTACACACGTCGAGTTTACCTACAAAATACAAATCATGAAAAGCTTCACCCATCATTCTCTACATTGCGTCTGTCCATCCAAAAAGATGAATGTGAACATTCTTCTGTTGACAGATGTTTACGATATATGTTTCAATACTGTGCTCGTCATTCAATTCCATTCAATGAGAGATCAATTGAATTCCTTCATCGAACTTACATATATCAAAAACACTTCGTGGTTCGTACCGAAAGTTTTATTATTCAATACGCGTGGCATATGCTTGCTAGCATCGGCTGTCGCGTATATGAGCAAATGGTCAACAGTTCTCGAATGACAAAACGCATAGTTAAGTTAGTGCGGCAAGGCAATGAACAACGGTTTTATTACGTCATGGAACGGTTGCAACGTCTTGCTACAGGTCCAGAAGGTTATTTCGTTGATCTGTTTAAAGCATTGTCTGACATCGAGCATGAATATAAGAAACTTTATTTGTCCAGTATTTACCACGAAAAGGACCAATCTTGGAAGAACTATGTTCGTATTCCATGGTTTCGTTTCACACCAACACGATTGATTGTGAAACCGTTAAAGTTCATGAAATCGAATCGAGTGTTTCGATATATCGGCAACGTGAAAAACTGCATGGCATTCGTCGATTTTCGGGATGATAATGGTTCAGAGTTTCTCTGTTCAGAACTTGTTCCATTTTTGGAATTTTATCTTAAGCATGGTTTTCACTTCGAAAATCGTCACTATGTCTACCTTCATCATGCCCAATCGCAGATAAGAAAAAAGCAGTTCTACTTCTATTGTGAAGCCGAAGGTGGCCAGACGCGGGAACAATTAGAAGAATGGATGGGCAATTTCAACGAAGAGAAACTACCGGCAAAGAACACTGCCCGTCGTACTCAGCCATTTTCGAGTACAGAAGCAACAATCGAAGTAAGAATAAAGCTATTATGGGTATATCAAGAAAACAAGCAAGATTTTAGATTGCGCAGCGTATGGTGGAGATCATTCATGACATTAAAACAAAGGACGAAAAATATAATTTTACCGATGGTGTTGGACAGATTTCTTCGGATTTGAATTTAAGAGTAAGAAAATGAAATATAAATTTCAACTTGCTATCCTTCTCTTTAGATACACGAAGAACTCGGTGTCAATGTAGACGATGGTGGTTACGTTTCCAGCGTTTTGCAAATTCGTTATGGCGGCTGTAAAGGTACCCTTGCTGTCAATCCTGAGCTAGATGGACAAGAGAAACAATTGTTAATCAGAAAAAGTATGCAGAAATTCCAATGCAATCACATCGTGCTCGAAGTGTGCAAACGTTCATTGCGACGTGAGAATCTTCATTTATCATAGGCCACAAAGATGCTCAGCTCAATTGATTTTTTCTTTTACTTAGGACGATTATGTCTCAATCGAGAAGTGATTAATCTACTCTCATATCGTAAAATATCTTCCGAACGTTTATTGGCATTCCAATTACAGAATGTTCGATGGCTGTTTGAATCCTTTATCTCCGACCAAGCGGCACTGTCCGTCCTTGAAGAAAAAGTTCTTCATGTTTTACCATGGAGAGATATATCTGCCTACCAAGGTTTATTCAAAGAGCCATTTTTCGGTCGACTACTACGAACAACCATATCGAATAATCTGCATCAACTGGTAACCCGAGCACACATTCGGGTCCCGCAAGCGCGTTATATGTTCGGAGTAGTGGATGAATATGCTGTTCTCCCGCAAGGGAAAGTCTTCATCCAAATTACACATGAAGATGGAACTAGAGAGGTTCTACAGGGACCTGTAGCTATCACAAAGAATCCTTGCCATCATCCAGGCGATCTTTTACGCCTAGAAGCTGTTGATGCTGAACATCTTCATCATCTCTATGATGTTCTAGTATTTCCTCAACTAGGTTCACGACCGCATGCCAGCGAAATGTCCGGATCGGACCTTGATGGTGATGAATTTACTGTTATTTGGGATCCAGAACTCATTCCGAATTCGCCCAATCCACAACCACACAACTATGATGATAACTGTCCTGCAAAACCTCTTAGGCGTATTGTCACTCGCGATGATCGTCTGAAAGTGATCCGAGATGTTTGTGAGCAGGATAATCTCGGAAGATTAAGTATTCTGCATTTGGTTCATGTGGACAAGTTTGGTATTGATAGTGATGAAGCTATTAAGTTAGCTGCCGGTATCAGTCATGAACTAGACAGTGTAAAATCAGGACATCATCCTTACACTGCAACGGAAATAAAAAATATTGCTAGCGTGGCAGGAACTTCACGACCGGATTTCATGCAAGCGAAAGACTGCGAACAATATCAATCAGAAAAAGCACTTGGTAAACTGTTTCGAAGTGCCGATCGTTTGGCCAAAGTTTTCCAAAAATTATTTACTGGTGAAGATGACATAATCGACCTTGATCTGAAACTTCTTCACAAAGATTATGAAAAATACATCGACTTCGCCAAGAATCTGTATCGAAGATATCGATTTGAGATGTTCGAGATTATTCGATCGTATGGGTTCTCGAACGAAATTGATTTATTTTGCTGCATGGAATCGCGCAACGTGGGAGCAAACGAGCGCAGCGACGTTCAATATACCGCGCAAGAATTACTAAAGGCTGTCTTTGCCGACATTCGACGACGATTTTTAGAAGATACAAGATCACCACGCGAACTGAAAGCGAAAGCAAGTGCCTGTTATTATGTCGCGTATAACGATTGCAGCGAAGAAGAAGAACGGATGCTAAGTTTCCCCTGGCTATTCGCATCTCAACTTCTGTCTGATTATTCAGCAGATTCTCCAGAAGAAAACATTTCGACTGTATTTAACAGTAATATTAGCCACTGGTGGAAATCAGAGGCACCTCGTATCTTGAAGATTTTTCCAAAAAACGAAGTCTTTTCATGCGTGAAAATGTTACAAGTATGCCTCGAAAAAGCGTCCACTTTACACGATGAACAACTGATAAACTATGCAGAACAATTATTAGAACAAATTATCATAACCGCCAAGAAACTCACACAAATGTAAACTCACAAAGTGTTATTTGAATATATATGCTTAATCATCATCTTCTTTATATAATCACAAGCAAAAACTATCTTTGTTAACATATACGATATTTAATCATGAATATGTGAGAAATTCTCTCATATTATTGATGTGTTTGACTGAATCTTAAACGTACAAATCTAGTGATAATCGTAAAGGCGACCAATCTTGTGACACCGATTCAAACGATTAATAACTGAAATAGTTGCCAGCTTTCTTCATCCATAGGTGTGTACATGCACCACAAATGAACGTTGTGAGATTATTCATGTTGATCGCATTATTTACAATTTGTTCCTATGAAAATCTTCAACGTATCACTCGTCGTTTCTTCTCACGAGCAAATTGTTTATCAAATTGACTCAGAGATTGTTAGCAGAGTGCTCGACACAGAAACGAATATTTTTACAATGTGAGAAGTCTCTACATGAAATGGATCATTATCGTCTACCTCTTGAAAAAGAAGATTAGAGAACAAACGTTTACTCATGACAGTTATCACCAGTTACCTATGCGATATCAAAAACAACAGCATACGTCATTGTATGATTCAATTTATCTATGATTGTGAAAAGTATATAAAAGCTGCGCGGTAACGCAGTGTTCTACCACGAAATCAAGTTTCAATCCGGTGAGACCATAGAAATCATGTATAACGATCCTAACAAGCAAGGCTTCAATAACTATGCAAACCAATATCCACCAATGAATCAACCTCCACCTTATCCACACTATCCACCACCCGGTGCAGTTTATCCTGGGCAACAACCAACGTACCAGCATTCGGTTATCGTTGCACAACCTACGCCCTATCGTCGATGGACTAATTTGGTGCCTACACCAATTACATCCGGTTTGAAAACATTTCTTGTCATTTCTGGCATATTCTATTTAATATGGTCAGTACTGGGTATCGGCCTAGAAATTGGTATCATTGTCAATTCATATTCCACCTATTATCGAGGAATATGGACAGGTGTTTTCTTTTTTATTACCGGTATCCTTATGCTCGTCGCATCATGCCAGACATCGTACGTTCTGGAAAATATTTCCCGATTCTTGGTTATTGATCTTTCCCTAGGCATCTTAGCTTTGATTCTCTCTATTGTTAATCTATCTATATCCACTCGATGTTCTGTATATGTCTATTGGTACTCTTGTGATTATAGCTTAGCGACCAATTTGAAGATAACTATCTTAGTTTTATTTATCGTAGCAATTGCCCATACAATCGCCGGTCTGGTTGTCATCAGCAATGCACAAAAACGAGCAAGAACATCCGCCGGACCCAATGTTCTCCGCAATTAATCAATACGTTCTATTGCAAGTTTTTGTTTTTGTGTTGATTCAATGTGAAGCTTTTTTTGATCAAAGATCGAGTTTTAAAACATCAATGACTACTTTCCTCTGTTTATTTATCTAATAAATTATTTTAATATTCAGTAATTACACATTTTTTGTTAACTCGAAAGTTCTCAAAAGTTGAATGAATGATTGCACATACGAATAAATGAGTGAAAAACTGTTGATAAAACTACAAATTTATTTCTTCTTCTCGTCGTTTTCCATCGACTGATCCTCATGGGATAAATGAATCAGAAAGCATTGTTTCAAATTCTTGACAAATTTCATCCAGGTAACAAAGTACCATATGTCTACTGTCGATTAGAAAGAACATCATGATGATCCTGTCATTCTGCTTGATATTATCGCTAAACAGTTGATATAATTCTACTTATCGAATCATTTATAAATAAAATGAACAAAACTGATAGTTTTTAGAAAACGAAGAAGATTTAACTCCTACATGCTAATATACCGTTGAATATTCCTATTCTTGCAATCGGACATTTCATTCCACGATGTCTGCTCTAAGTAACATTCTCAACCTTCGAAACTAGTTTGAAATAATTTAAATTTTCATGTTTGCCAAACCTGTTTGATGATACACCATGGAGATAAGAGTGACATCAGAAGAGATAATGACTCATGCGATTATGAGTAGTAGATATCACATGTATATATATATATTCAAAACTACTGGAGATCAAACCCACGGCTTTTATACGAAGTGTTGCTGTTTGTTACAAATACAATGTCGTTTCTCACACAGGTCTTGTTTTCCATTTCTTTTCTCGTGAGTGCAATTGAATGTCAGGGTGGAGGCGGCGGTGGAGGAGGTGGTAGTGGTGCTTTCGGAGTATTCGGTGTTTTTTTCTTGTTGATATTCTTACCGATCTACTGCTGCTGTATAGGTCGACCAAGGCGATCAAATGCGAAATATGTTCATGCGTCTAAGGTCGAAAATAACGAAACTAAAGTGATTGACCTACATGTTTTTCAATCTGGCCTTTGGGAATGCGAATATTTTCAATATAACAAGCAGCATGGTCCTCATTATATCAATCTATCGTTCGACAACGTGAGACTCGAAGTGACAGGATCAGGCTTCGATGATATTGGTATGTATACACTTCATGGCTTTTATTCAACGCAAACGCGTCGCATCGGTGTTACGAAAACCTATCAGTTAGGCACTGGCGATCCTCGACAAAACTTAGGACATAATGTAATTATACAACTGGAATGGAATAGATTCGCCAATCAGTTCGAAGGCAAATGGTATGTTCGCACGAGAAAATACCGAGGATCTGGTCCCTACAAATTGAGAAGTTCTCAACAACAATTGACACTACCTCCTGCCTACGAAAAAGTGTGATTGTTTTTGTTCGATGTAAATATTCATTTTGAATTAAATCTTATTTTCAACAAAAAAAAAGACAAAAATCACTGTATATCGATAAATGTACTACTGGTCACTCTCACAAAATTGACCTGAAATCGTGTTTGTTGAACAAATCTAGAACGACAGCTTCACTTCACTTTTCGATTTATTCTAATCGTTTCTTTCTTATTTGTTAAAATCAGCGATATTGTCTTGTGCATATCAAATATCAATTCGTACACACAATTTGTCTGTTCATTCATTCTAAGCTCTCGTGTATATCGAAATTCACTCAGATAATTTCGTATCATTTACGTTTTTACTTCAATATTGAACACATCAACGCAAATCATGCGATTTCTCCTAGTACTGATCTTAGTCAATTTATCATCAAGCACTGAACATTGGTTTGTCTTTGATCGATATCAATTTCCGGGATTCTATACCTCATTATTTACACTTCTTTCCTCGCCAGTCAATCAGACAAATCTCTCATTTGCTCTCTCGTCGTATCAACACTCGATTATTATACAGGTTAATCAAAACAAGCAAACAATTCAGTTAAACATCGAACGAGCTGATCTTTTGTCGAACACATTCAATCATTTAATATTTCTTGCTGTTCGTCAATCCATGAAATTTGAAAGTTATGTCAATTGCAAACTAATGGACTCATATTTGCTCTACTCAACCGATTTCATTGACCAAAAGTTAACATTCGAAGTTCACGATCTCGCGGAAGGAATTCAACACATTCAATCAGCAACAGAAGAAGATTATCAACGAGACATATTCAAAAAATTTAGTTGTCGTATGCTGAATACCGATAATAAAACAAATGTAATTGGAAAACCATTGATTCGAAAGATACAACAAGTGATCGAAAAAGTTCAACAACAACCACGGTAGGTATAACTTCTCAAAGATTCGATTTTCAGCGTAGTTTACTTCTCATAGACGCCATTCCAATCCAAATGCATCACTTCAGCTATCTACAGATTCGTTGACTATCGTTTACAAACCAGATATCACTTCTAAAGAGAATAATGATACGAATTTCCAGACGATTCTTTATGCACCACAATTTCAATTCTTTATTCGATATTTTCCTAAAGAACGTCTCTTTCACATCCGTTTCGATAACAAGAATCGGACACAATTTCTTCTCTACGTGGATAAATCAGCCGATCTTCTGCGCTCCGATGGCGCATCGCAGGATGTATCATCGACAACGATGATTTTCTTACGCATAACACCCCGGCGAATCACATGCTATGTAAATTGTGAATTAACCGATCAAGAATTCATTCTCGATACATTCTACGTACGAAATATCCTTCGACAGTTAATGACAAAGACAATCAGCTATCAACAATACGATCAACAATCGACTTTGATTCTCTTCAATAAAACAATGAATGACATAGCAACGATGTTTTCGTGTTCGAAATTAGACGAGAAACAAGACGATTCCTTACCAGGCAAATATGCATTACGGTAAAGTTCTTACGATCTTTGTTGAAGAGTTATCTTTTTCGTTTAGGAAGTTTGTCAATGCCCTAGACGTGCTCGTCAATAATCTTGAAACTTCTCTGCTAACAAACAATCAAACAATTCTAATAACAACTACAACAACGCCAAGTCAGAATGTATCAGCCATCGACATTCATTCGATCAATGGTTTCGGTAGTCTTAAACTGCCGTTATCGAATACCGTACCAAACGATGTTCAACTGTATGGCAAATCATGTTTAACAGATGACGATTGTAATTTAAATAACGCCTCATTAAAATGTCGAAATGATCGTTGTACATGTGCGATACGTTGGTTTTGGTCGACAAATTCCTCTCGTTGTCTCTCATGTAAAGACTTATCAATCGGTAGTCGTTGTTTTCGTTTGTCAAATCACAAATCCTCATGGATGGAAACGATTGATTTCTGTCGAGATGACAATTCTCTCGATGGACCTTCGGATTATTCCATGAAATTAGTATCCAATCTTAATCTAACTGACATCGAATTACTGAAAACTAGTCTGATCGAAGAAGACGATGGTGAACAATTGGATTATTTCTACTGGATTGGCTTAACAAATCAAATCGATATGCCAAAACAACGTGTTGCATCCACGCCAAAGGACTTCTATTGGTTCGATACTGGCAAAGTCGCCCAAGTGAACAAATCCGATCTTTGGTGTTCGCAAAGAGAGGAGACTAGCAACGAGACGAATCGCATTTGTGTAACACTCACATCATGTGGTTTATACGCCGACGATTGTCAACGAAACTATCGATTCTTGTGTGAAGCAATTTAGAATGTCTTTTTTGCTTGTTGTTTAGTATCGTAGATAACTTATTAGAAATATAAATTGCTCTAGAGGAGCATTTCGTTTGTATTCACTATCTCGCGACAAAGTTTTACCACGACTCCGTTTGAAAGAGGTCGCCAGTTGACCTCAGAGAGGCATGATATCATATAGGGGACAACTCTCGATTGGTATCTTCAATTTTAACCATTCAAAAAATAGCATCTTACCCGAACTATTTATCATCAGTTCCTCCATTGTTGATTTCGAATTATGATACGGTTAAAATTGTAGAATTTTCAACATGACGGTAAACTCGAATTTCCTCCTTTTAGTTCGGTTTCTCATTCGTTCAATTTAGACTTTAATCTCATCATCTCGAAAATCAAATCAAATTGGATCTGTTCCATTCAACGATGATATTTATTCCATATCATTATACCGTTCCAAAAATTATCATTTACACTTAAACATAGGACCTTTCTTCGCCCTCTATGCTATATGGTTCTTCGTATGGGCCTTTCATTTCGGTCTAGGAGAATATCCCGAATTAGGAATGATTGTTACTGTCATCATTGCACTTCTACAAATCATTACATGTCTGTTTTGTTACTGGTTTGTGGAGATACGTGCATTCATGCAATGTATACCTGTAAGAAAGTTGCTCCTGTTTTTCTCTTGCCTAAGTATCATCGATGTTTGATTTTCAAGGAAAAAGATCCGCGGAGAGCCGAACTCGTTGTCGTAAAACCAACAGCAAACAATGGTTATTCAGAAATGGTGCCACTTCATCATGGAAAAGTAAGAGATTTGCTTCGAAAATCTTCGCAGTCCCATTGATTCATTTAGAATCCTCATGACCATCGTGAACAATCGTGGTTTATTTTTCAAAAATGCCGATATATCTACGACGAAAGTGAAAAGAAGACGTTCAAAACCATTGACTATCCATTATCAAACTCATTTCAATCGTATCTCCAATCAAAAGGTTATCAAACTCAAGATGAAATCGATCAAGGAACATGGAATTTTGGACTTAATAAGTAAACAAATTTCTTTCGAAGTTTCACGTATCTTACATTTCGTTGTTGTTAGAATGGTGATTGATATTCCGAAGTTTATCGACTTATTTATTGAACGAGCAACGGCACCATTTTTCGTCTTTCAAGTATTTTGCGTTCTACTCTGGTGTTTAGATGAATATTGGTAAGTCCGACTTATTTTGCGAAAGAGAGGATATTTTCTGTCATGATGATGATTCTACATGCACCACTCCGATCAAATCTTGATTTGAGGAGAATTTCTATCCTAGTATAATCTGAATACAGAAAATATGAAGTGCACACTTCAAGGATGAATCCAACGACGGTCGTCAGATAAACGAATGATCGATAAACATGATTCTAAACCCATTTCAATTGAAAACTGCTGAAGAAAACAAAACTAACGAAATTGTTTGTTTTTCTTGGTTTTTAGGTACTACAGTTTATTGACATTATTTATGTTGATCGTCTTCGAGATAACATTAGTTCAACAGCAGAAACGTAATATGGCTATGATTCGTCAAATGGGTAATCAACCGTACAAAATCAATGTCTATCGTCAACGCAAATGGATTAAAATTGATACAACAGATATTCTACCAGGTGATCTATGTTCCATTCTCCGAAATAATGAAAACAATCCATTGCCTTGTGATATGTTACTCTTACGTGGACAATGCATTGTCGATGAATCCATGTTAACAGGCGAATCCATACCACAAATGAAAGTAAGAAGATCGTCTCCGATGATTATGTACTTTTCTATTTCATTGACGTACTGACTGTCAATTAATGTTGATAAATTCGATTTATATGAGGAGATTAATTTCTTACGTTTGCTTTTAGGAACCAATTGAAAATGCCGATGAAAGTACAGTGTTCGATTTTGAACGTCATGCAAAATTACATGTGTTATCAGCTGGTACACGAATTGTTCAACACACTCCACCAGCAAAGATGCAGGGTGGAATGAAAGGTAGTTCGTTTGTTGATACATTTTGTCGCAAGACAGTGTTTTCTTCTAGCGGGTGACAATGGTTGTATTGCTTATGCACTTCGAACTGGTTTTAGTACATCTCAAGGCAAATTATTGAAAACGATCTTATACAGTGTTAAACGAGTGACGGCAAACAATTTAGAAACCTTTCTCTTTATCTTATTTCTTCTTATCTTTGCCATTGTTGCGGCATCGTACGTTTGGATCGAAGGTAAATGATCAACCAAATAGAACATTTCGGATGATGGATAAAAAAGTCTTTTGATTCAATGAAAATGAGAAATCTCATAAGATTAGAGTCACTGACGGAATGTTTCTAAATTTTAGTCGAAATTCAATACTAAGACTTATTCGATTCTAGGTACAAAGGATCCCAGACGTAATCGCTACAAATTATTCATCGAATGTACATTGATTTTGACGTCTGTCGTTCCGCCGGAACTACCGATTGAATTATCGCTTGCGGTGAACACGTCTTTGATTGCTTTAGTTAAACTCCGTAAGTTATTCTCATCAGCGAAACACTTCATATTTGACCTATAACACCCTTACTTAGTTATCTATTGTACTGAACCATTCCGCATCCCATTTGCCGGAAAAGTTGATATATGTTGCTTTGACAAAACTGGCACATTGACAAGTGACGATCTCGTAGTCGAAGGTGTTGCTGGAATACAAGAGTAAAGCTTACCCCCAACGATCTTCTGCATTTAATAGAACATTTTCATGTATTCTAGTTCTGATGATCCCGTTCCATTAGTAAAAATCGATGTACAATCACCTGTGAAGCAAGTTCTTTTGACTTGCCATGCATTAGCTAATCTTGACGGTGAAATCATTGGTGATCCATTAGAAAAAGCGACATTGCATGCATTGGAATGGACAGTTACACGCGGTGATACAGTCACGCCTGTGAAAGGTCGTGCGGGACGCTGGCAAATAATTCAACGTTATCATTTCCTCAGCGCTTTGAAGCGTATGTCAGTTATTGCTGGACAAACTCCATCGCCTTCGAGCAATGAAACAACCTACATCGTGGCTGTCAAAGGAGCACCGGAAACACTGAAACCGATGGTATGTGCGCTTGGAATTTATTAATTTTTTCCTTACAAAACAAAATGGAAATACGGAGGATGATTTGCTATTCATACAAAATGAGAGATAATGATTTACAAACATATAATACTCAAACACTGAGCTGACGTATTCCATTTTCCCCGCTATTCATGTTTAACTAATTGAATATTAATATGATCAAGAAGTGGTGTGTTAATGTTGTTTATATAGAGTATCTCGTCATTACGTTCGATTGTTACAGATATTGTCAGACCCCCAGGAATCGCTTTGATTTCCTCGAAATTCATATGTGCTTGGTTAGGATTGTAGAGACACTGGAAATAAATTGGCATTGCCTGTCCTCGATGTAATTGAATTGTTTTTGATCCCAATTCAGTACAATCGACATCGTGCTGAAGAGATTCTCGAACGAAAATGTAGAGAATTTCGTCGCCCGTGAACGTCGGTTGATCATCTTTGATAAGAATTTGCCCATAAACTTGATTCTTCAGTCGGAGAGCCATTGAATGAAATCAAATATATGTAAGAGAAAGTTGACGTACGAAATGAAAAATAAAACAATACTAGTGCATAATAATGATTTTACCATGCACCACTCTGAGTCGAAAAACAAAACGATTTCGACAACGAAGATTGTTATGTAAACATATCTGAGTGCATAAAAATAAGCCAATCGATTTTGTTTGTGTATTTTTAGTTTAGCAAAGTACCTGATCGTTATGATGAAATTTATTTACGGTTATCAAGACAAGGAGCACGTGTTCTGGCATTGGGACATCGATCACTTGGAATACTGTCGAACCAACAAGTTTGTTGCTCTAAATTTGAATTCCACACTGACGTTTTGCTTTAGTTACGAGAACAATATCCAACACGTAATTCTGTGGAATGCGATTTGGATTTTTGTGGCTTTGTAGTACTGTCATGTCCATTGAAACCGGATTCGAAAGCAATGATTCGAGAACTTCGTCATTCTTCTCACCATGTTCGTTGATGATTTGTTTTCGATAATTGAATCGAACCATTTTTCTTTCAGTTAACGATGATCACAGGTGACAATCCACTGACTGCTTGCCATGTAGCAAAAGAATTACACTTTACACGCAAACCATTGTTGGTTCTCACTGCTCCGACTGCTGGTATGTGAACGTTCGAAAGGAAATATTCGGTTATGAAATGAATTGATTTAGACACAAGTGCATGGAAATGGGAATCAGTGAATAAAGATAAGAATCTACCAATACAGCCATCGAACATACGAAATTTGACGGGAGAATACGATCTTTGTGTTACTGGAGAAGTAAACTTGTTGCAAATTGAATATTTCTTGCCTATTCTCTTCTATTCTGTAGGGTTTGGCTCATCTTAGCACGTTACCAACTTCATTTTTAAATGCCATAATGCCTCATGTGAAAGTCTTTGCTCGTGTATCACCAAAGCAAAAGGTATTGTTTTTCTGTATTTCATACTTTCGATCACTATCTCAATCGAATTAGGAACAAGTGGTTATCAAATTGAACAATCTTGGCTTTGTTACACTGATGTGTGGTGATGGTACGAACGATGTTGCCGCACTTAAACACGCACATGTTGGTAAGTAGAATGTTGAATGTGATTTCGTGATAGAGTTGAAAATGTTCAAGGTGTGGCTCTATTGACCGGCGTTGCTGCTAAACGAGCAGAACAACAACAAGATAATACGACAACATCTGCCAGCAATGTGCAACCACCGGCAGTGGCAACAGCTTCACCCCAGCAACAAGCTCTTACGCCAGCAGAAGCAGCGCAGCGTGCTCGTGAACAAACAAAAGTAAACTAGGATTTAGATTTAATTACCAATAATGTTTTCGTCTTTGTTATAGAAACGTATCGAAGAACTTTACAAACAAATG